AAACCAAAAAGCAATGACTTCACCATAGGCATCCCTTTTTTCAAAAACATTTTTTTGTCACACACACCCAACAGAACCTCTGTCGATGCTAAGCAACACAACAACAACAACAACGCCAACAATGAAAATGCAAAATTTAATTGTATTACCCAGATTTGAAGAAGACGAAACAATAACACAAAATCATTTCACAAAAAAGATGCCGATGTAATTCCTCGTCAATAGTTCTCAGGGTTTTACTCTCATTGTCTGTTCATCGTTCTATGGCAGTGTACCTGTTCAAATTTGTTTTAATTTAAATTCGTATTTTGTCACTCCCGCCGTTTTCTCACGAAGCGAAAGGATGCTCATCCCAACAGTGTGTGTGTGTAGATCTTTTGAATCTTATTGTAATGCAAAGACCTCAAGAAAGCAGCAGATCTTTGATTGTTATTGAATCCCACGCTATTTCTCAGAATAGAAATGGAATTGGGAGAACATAAATATGCATTAAATTGAATATCCATGGTAGAATTAAGGAGGCAACCATGGAATGTAATCATAGTAGAATTAGGAACGTAACCACATTCTGTGGAAGATCTGCTTTTTCTGTAATTTAAAGGTGAAAATACATAAAAAGCCTTTTTTGACTGGCTTAAGTCATCGCCTGGCTTCTTTGGAAAGAAACAAAGAAACGTAGAAACGTATGTCAAACTAAAACTCCCTTGTTCCTTTACGTAGAAGCCAGAAGCCAGATGACTTAAGCCAGTCAAAAAAGCCTTTTATGTACTTTCACCTTAAGGTTTCCATCTCCGATGTGTGTACACGAATTTATGAATATACATTTTGGCAATAAAATGTCATCACATATATAATGAAAAAAATGGGAATATATGATTGTACGAGGTTACCTTGACTTAATTCTGTCATGTGTACATGGCACAATTAATTAGGAAATCATATTTACCAAATCGGTAATGGCAACCCTTTTATAAGTTATAGTACGTTTACAGTGTAACGGATTTGATAAACCATGGTAGAAGAATATAGGTAGACGCGTCGGCACAGCTGCTGGGACAATGAACTGTCAAATCAATTTTGGAATCGAAAATATTGAATGAAAAATTATTTAAATTTGTAAAAATTGTTAAAAAAAAACTCGAATTATAATAGCCTCCGAATGACGTAGTGCAAGAAAACATATAAAAATCTACTTATATTTGAAATAACATTTAAAATTTTTTGACATATCAATGTTTCAAAGCTTTGATGCATCTACCTGTATTCTTCTATCATGTGATAAACCTGGTAGATTTAAATTGTCAATTCCATTGAAAATACTTCACATAAATTATATTAATCTTTAAAAAAGTTCTAAAGGGGAGAGTATTAAAGCAGTTTCAGGCCTTCGCATGGTATATTTTGTGACATATCATGCCATATGATGAGATGCCTGCCGTCTTTTTTTATAATTTGACATTAAATTAATGCCTAGCCATGAAGCCAAGCTGTTAATGTACTCACACCTTTACATCACCATATTTGCTCTGCAAGAATCTACTAGTTTTGCACTTTTTTCGAGTTTTACATTCTTACAGTTCTGGAACCGACCAATTATTATCTATCATTTTAAAATGATGGCATATTTTCCAACTGTGAATTTCGATGCGTTTACGTGAAATATACTCCACTGTGTACGAGAAATGATTCCATTTGACGCTTACGCAATGGAATTTATATTTGAAATCCGCTTGTTTTAGAGGCAAACTTTTGAAAACCATACATAAATTTGTTTTGTTTTGCATTCATCTTTTTAGAAACCATGGTCGAATTCAGAACGTAACCTTATAATTTAATTTTTTTTTTTCAAAACAATACATTTGATAACATTTCATTATTAAACAGAGGTGGGAACCTTCTTCCAATGCATTTAAATTTGAGAAAGTAAGTTACATGTATTTTTTGTGTATTTTCGTGTTATAGCAAAATTTGTCATTTTACATAAAACTCATAATTCATGCAATCACACACTTCCATATGTTTTTAATTTCTTTGATTACTTTGTGATTATATTGCATTTTCTGAATATTTATAATACTTTATGTATGACATTTTCCCCGCAAATTTAATTTTATATATTTAAAAAAAACAAAACTTTTGATTGAAATTATATTTTCCAGATTAAAATAGGGCTCGATGTACATACGTACTTTACTCATGTACTTCACAACTGAAATGTTGTCCATGTATCACACGATGTGTGTAAATTCTAGGTATGGGAAATTTGACACCATACATGCAAAAACATATCGTCTGATAGAGCCTTAAGGCATCTACCATAGATGGAATGAAAACTGTTTTATTTACGCAAATCTTTTTAAAAATCAAGTCATAAAATATATAGTCATAAAAAAATATATAAAACTGCATTTAAAACACTTCAGACATTGAAAAATATCCTGTTATTTCCTCAAAAAGTCACTTTCCTCCATTTCCACCATTCTTAATGTTTACTTCCTGTTCCTTTCCCACAAATCACAAAAATCTCCGTAAAATACAAACACCACTGCAACCTGCTAACATTTGGTGTTACTCAAGAGAATCCTTTCACTTTTCATCCTTGTCATCCCTAGCCCCAACACATAATTAAACCCTCTTCAAAATCTCTAAAACGCACCATATGGATTTAACTTTTTTCAAATCATTAAATAATTTCATTTTCATTAAATCTCTCCTCAAAAAATAACAAATATCCTTTCCAAAATTTATTTTATTATAAATGCCTCCTTATATTGCGTACATATTGTGTGAAACTGTAACAGTTATTTTGTGCGGACATGGTACTGCGGTCTTAGGCTGCGGCTTAGCTCGCCGGAATGGGTAGGTTCTTTCCGCTTCAACTGCACATATAAATTTGTGTACCATAGGTGTTATTTTTTTGTAACGGAAATTCAAAATGAAATTTAAAAACAATAAAAAAAGTGCAAAGGAAACGGATGTAGTTCGATTTATAACCAGATTTAGCATTTCAATTCAAAATAAATACAAATGAGATTTCCATTAGGTGAGGTTTAGATGGTAACCTCGATGGCTTTTCCCTCCCCATATGACTATTTCAGTCATCCTTGGTATTTTCTGTGCCATCAGACTTAAGTGAAAATACCCCAAATATAATTAACCACGCACTAACAAATATTCAACCCATTACTTTAATGTTCAAAACATTTTGTTAAAAAAAATTATTACTCAAAATATTTCAATATTTAAATTAAATTTATAATGCATTTTTATTATTATTATTCTTAATATTTAATATATATATATTAAATTTTTTTTTTTTACTATTTATAGGTTTTTTTTTTTTTTGGTTTCAACAAAAATAATTTTTGGTTTCCTTAATAATAATTAAACATATAAATTTTTGTATTATATAATAATAGAAAATTTACTTTGATATAACAATTTCTAATTGAGTATAGATATTTTGTTCAGAATTTATATTATTTATTTTTATTACAATTCTTATTTTTACTTATTTGGTTTCTAAATATATATATAATTTCAGATTTTTAATAATTTCTTATTTTTTTGTGTATAAATATAATTTAGAATTTGTTATATTTACATATTTTAGGTGTAATAGATTTGTGTAAATAATATTATTTGTTTGCAATATTTATGTTATTTATTATTCTTATTTTTATTATTGTTATATATATTTTTGTTGTATCTCTAGATAAGTTATATTGAATTTGAAGAAGGATTACATTTCATAACCACGTGGGTCTTATATAATATTTTTAGGTTATATTTAGGCAATACTTCATTTACCTATAATTTTATCTCCAATTTGCTGTTTTTTTTTTTATTTATTTGTTGATTTTTAAAATAAATTAAATTTATCAGGTTTTTCTTCGGTCTACCCTAATGTTTTTATAGCAATATTCATATTTTTTAACGCCTTAACATATGCTTTACGTTTCAACTAAATTTTGAATGTTTTAATTTTGTGTCAAAATAACCACGTGTGAAATATGTGATTGTTGCGTAGAGATGGAGCTTACATCATATTTTATTTTGCCAATTCACAACAATATCTTGATTTAAGTATACCAGTTTTAATAAAGGTAACTTATTGATCTAGATGGTGTTGTATGGCACTTTTTGATATATGTTTGATGATTGTACTCACTTATGATAATCTCCTTATGATGAGTTATACATATATATAGGTATCTTATTGTCCGAAATTAATGCCCAGAATATGTGCCTCCATTTACAAGTGACAATTTGACGACTGCCGCGGTGTTGAAGTCGTCAGAAATTCACTTCTGACTTCTTTCTGCCTTATTTGGAGAATAGGTATTTCAACACGATATTCTATATTATAAAAATGGCACAAATTCCCTGACGTTAGACACTAATCAAAAGCAAATTATTTTCGTTTTATGTTATTTTTCTCACCTGGGCAATTTTCAATATTTCTTTACTAATATTTCAGCATTAAACTCTCCAATCTTTAGTTTTAATATTTTAAATTTTTATTAATTTAACTAAAAGAAAAAAAACGTTTTATAACCACTATCACCATTACTCAATGCTTCAAATTTCACCTTCTAATTTTAATAATTTCTAAATATCTTAAATGTTAACCTTATGGTAAACCTTCAACGTTTGAAATGAAAGAACAATTTCAAGGTGACATTGTGAAGGTTGGAACTCACATGCTGGAGTTTTAGAGATGGTACAATTGGTTCCTTTTTCTAGTGGTATCAATTTGTAGTGTTGAGCATTCTATATAGATGGCTCTCTAGTAATGATCATGGCAGCATTTATTTTTCTTGTGTTCAAGATTTATTAATATGAATTAATAATGCTATCATATTTTTAAAAATTCAAATAATTTAAAGCGGGTCAAGGATTATTTTATTAAAAGCTTTTTATAGCAATTGTTAAAGCTTTTTTCCAATTGTTGTCCAACATTTACGATTTGTTGGAAACATATGTTGTAATACTGCGGTGTAGTTACGACCAGATAATATGCAGATGGTAAAAATACGATTGCAGAATCCCTACTAGATAATATGAACTTGGTCAAGATACGATTGTGGCATCCCTATAATGTCTATTTACATTTCAAACATCAAACCGCTAAATGGTGAAAAAAAAAATTCTTTTGAAAAATAATAAGTTTGTTGCTCATATCCACAGCCCAAGGGTGGCTGTCACAAAGCCAACTCTTTTCGCGCAACCTGTGTAGTGTAAAAGAGTTGGGAATATTTATATGGAAAACAATAAAAAGGTAAATATAGCAATTCCACTCACAACATGTTGTTAATGTTTTTTTCTTTGCAGGTATTAAGGGATGTATGTTGGAATCTTTGGATTGGCAAGAAAATATTTACATTAGAAACACAACAGCAAAATTTATCAGCCAGGATATAAAAATGTATTACATTGTTGTTGTCCAATGTCAAAGGCAATCGAAAAACTAGTGTGTTTTGGTGTCAAAGGTTTTGTTGGATATTTGCAACAGGCATTTGTCTTGGCCAGAAATACAACAACATAAAGGAAAAATGGATAATGGAGATTTTAGGAAAAGGAAAAGTATTTTCCAATCAGTTTATTTGTTATATTAAGATTGTAACAAGTGTTTGTTTTGTTTCCAGGTACACGTTCATGAACGTATGGAATGCATTATTTTGTGTGCTATGAATGACGTAGAATGTGAGCAGGTATATTGGCCTACATGTGTGTCTACTCTATTGGTCCAGTTGGGAATTTATTGCAGATATGGTAAGTCTATTGGAGATACAATGTTTGTTGTTCATTGTACTAATTTCTGTATGTCTGAAATATTCAAGTTATTGAATACTGATTGTAATAAATGCAATATGTTTTACAAAAAGCAAATTATTCTACGGCCATATATTTACCCTACATAGTAAATGGATAGATTTTTACCTGAATGCATTAAAAGGTATGTTCATGATCATGTGGGTTAATGGCAAAGAATAATGTGTGTACTTGATTATTAACAAACTCAATATTTTTGTTTATTGTCCAGGTAGACGTATTGAAAATGACAAACTAAATGCCTTATATATTCAGATGTGTGGTGTTGTGTGCTTGTAGATAATAACAAACGAACATGTTGACGGAAAAAGGAAAGTATTATTCCAATTGAATTTGTGTTGCCATCAAAATGTTTATGAAGTTTCTTTTTTTAGGTAAGCATTGACGGGAATCTAAAATCTATGAGAATATTGACAGTTGGTTTCATGCGAATATCGTTATAGTAAATTAGCGAATTTGAAGATAAGTATATTTTGAAATTGATTATGCTATTGTTACTAATATTTTCTTTCTATTTTCAGGTTCTGATATGAAGTTATTTCTGGTTATTAATAGTTTTCTTTCTTTTTCAGGTAGTTGCAGAAATTAATTCATAATGGATCAATTGAAGGGAGCAATCAACATAACAACAAAATATGCCGTAGGTTTTGGTGAGAAAAGTAGTTATTAAGATTAATATTAGTTATAAGAGTAGGTACTAATACTATTGCTTGAGGTGTTGTGCGTGGATAGTTCCTATTAGATCGCCTTTAAGATTTTCAATTTGGTATAGGCAGTTTCCTAGGGCTTTTCGTATCCTACACTTAATCCACGGTTTACAGAGTTTAGAATTTATACCTTTTGCAAAATTGCTTTGCACAAAATTCTTTCGGAAGACTTCCTGTCCAGGTTTGTAGGTTATGAATCTACTTCTCTTGTTATATGATCTTGTGTTTCTTTCATAGGCTTCATGTATCTTTTTGTTGATCTTGTTGTGCATTATTTGCATTTGGTCGGATTTAGGTAACAAAACTATTTCACCGTCTTCTAAGGCGTTTAGTTTCTTTAGAATCTTGTATGCATTTGCATGAGTAATCATTTGATAGCCTGTTAAAGCGAAGTATGGAGTTGTACCTGTAGAAGCATGAATTGTTGAGCGTAGTGCACATTCAATTTTGGGCAACTTTTCATCCCATTTTGCGTGATCTTTCTGTAGGTAACTACGAATGCTACTAAGGATTGTTTGGTTTACCCTTTCGCTTGCATTAGATTGTGGTGCATGTATTGCAGTACGAATGTGTTGTATGCCAAACATTTTCATTAGCTCTTTAAATGCTTCAGAGGTAAATTGTTTTCCATTATCTGAATGGATACATTCGGGAACTCCGAATTTATAAAATACCTCTTCGACAAGAAATTTATTTACTTGAGAAACGGTTGCTTTAGTCATTGTTTTGAGCAAAACGAATTTAGTTTTATGATCTAAAACTATAAATATAAAACTCTTGCCTGTCTTTGACCTGGGGTAAGGTCCTAAAAAATCAATGTAGATCTTCCGAAATGGTCGTAATGTGACAACTTCGTTCCCCATTGGAGGTCTAAGTGTTTGTCTAGGATGCTTTATTTCTTTACATGTATCGCAATTTCTTATAAAATCCTTTATGTCTGTGACCATTGAAGGCCAGTAGAAGTACTGTCGTATGTTATGTATAGTCTTAGCTATGCCACCATGACATGTGTTTATCTCATGTGACTTTTTTACGATTTCGTTGGTCAAATTGCTTGGTAGCCAAATCTTCCAACAAGTGTCCTCGCTTTCTATATCTATCGTATTGAATTTGACCCTTTTGTAAACAACTCCTTCTTGTACCTTTAAGTCAGGCAGTCTATCTTTATTTTGCTCGATTGTGTCAATGAGACTTAGGTAGATTGGATTCTTGAATTCCTCTGAATCAAAGTCTATTATGGATGTTGTGTCAACAGAAATTTCTTCCATGTCTAAGCGTGAGAGCATGTCAGGTACTACATTTTTGGTTCCCTTTCTATGTTCAATTGTGAACCTGTAGCCTTGTAGTTTTAAACTCCATCGCGCTAGACGTCCATTCAAATCTTTCTGTCTCATCAGCCATTGTAGACTTGAGTGGTCAGTTATGACTGTAAAGTCCATCAATTCTATATACTGTCTGAACCGCTCAATTGCCAAGATAACTGCAAGGCACTCTTTCTCTGTAGTGGAGTAATTGCGTTGGGCACTGTTCAATTTCTTGGAGAAGTATTCGATAGGATGTTCACCATCGTCATCACCTTTTTGAAAAAGAACAGCACCAACTCCGACGTTCGATGCATCACACTGCACAAAGAAAGGTTTTGAGAAGTCGGGACTGGATAATACTGGACTAGACACTAAACATATTTTTAATTTTTCAAAAGATTCTGTTGCTTCAGGAGTCATTATAAATTTTGGAGATTTCTTTAAGGTATCTGTAAGAGGGGATGTTAAAGTGGAAAAATCGTGAATAAATCTACGATACCACCCTACAGTACCTAAAAATTTCCTAACATCTTTCTGGTTTTTGGGTGATTTGATATTCATTATGGCTTCAATTTTTCCTGGATCAGGTTTTAACTTGCCTGCTCCAACAATATAACCAAGATATCGAAGTTCTTTATAACAAAATTTAGACTTGTCCATATTTATTGTTAAGCCAGCGTTTGTTAGTCTATCTCCTACAGTCTTGAGCATTTTTATATGTACATCGAAGTTTTGGGATACCACCAATAAATCGTCGAGGTACACAAATACACGGTCTTTCAACTCTGAAGGAATCACTTTATCCATCAGGCGGCACATCCTTTGAGCAGCATTACACAATCCGAAAGGCATGACCTTAAACTGGTAGTGTGGTCTACCTTGGACCGTGAATGCTGTCAAAGGACGGCTTGATTCCTCCAAAGGAATTTGCCAAAATGCGTCCTTTAGATCTATTGCTGATATGAAATGCGTATCTCCGAGTCTAGCTAACAAACCTTCGATATTAGGCAAAGGATATGCATCTTTACGCGTCACTTTATTGAGTTCCCTTGCGTCCAAACATAACCTGTTTTTATTGGGTTTTATGACCAGGGTAACTCTGTTGTTCCATTCTGCATTTCGTGCTATCTCGATTACATCCAGTTCCAGCATACGGTCTAACTCGTCGTACATGAGTTTTTGTACTGCGGGACTCACTGGGTAATATCTCATCTTCTTAGGAGCTGAATTTCCAATATCGATGGAATGCTGTTCCAGATGAGTTTTCCCTAGACCGTACTTCGTATAGCACCGAAATGAGAGCTTGGCGTTCTCTAATTTCACATTTTGTTCATACGTAAGATCATGCATTTTCCTTTCCTCGTCAATCTCTAATACTTCTTTATTGATTATATTTGGTTCGAACGATATTTTTATATTAAATGTTTGCCAAAAATCGTACCCTAAAATGAGACTTTGTTTCAAGCTAGGAACTAAGTAAAATGTCAAGTTTCTAACCTTATTTCCACATTTTACATCACATTTAATTTTGCCTAAAATTTGTTGTTGCTTGCCGTCTGCTGTTCTTAGACAGGATTTAAAATTAAAAATCTGGGCATTCATTTTCTCTACATTTTCTATGCAATTGCTACCTAGGCAACTTATGGAAGCTCCACTGTCCATCAGACCAGTGAATTCTATTTCATTAAGTTTCACTTTCAAATAAGGCCTAATGTCATTATCGACTTCAAGGTATGCTGATGCAATAACTTTCCTTTCTGTCTTTCTTTTACTATATCCTTTTCTCGCTTTTGCAACTCTTTTACTGACTTCAGGCACAAAGTCCTTGAATATTTCAGCCCTTTTCTTATTGTACTCTTTTAATCTTTCTTCATACGGAACAATAGAAATTAGTTTTGTTGTTGTTGGACAAATTGATTTTGCAACATGTATTAATGTTGGCTTATTGTTGAATGTCTGGGTAGTAGTTGTTGTTGGTATGTCTGGGATCGATTGTTTTACTGGGATGTGTCCTTCTGCGAACATGGATTCCCAGCGTTCCCCATGCTCTTGAAGCGGTTTCCCATACATCTAGGACATTTAGGTGATGTAACTCCATCGAACCCACATTTGTAGCAAAAAATATTTCGCTGTTCGACTTCACATTCTATGTAAGTGTGACCTGCCTTCTTGCAATTCCAACATGTAATTTGCTTTGCTGTTGTTGTTGCATGGATTGCTTCAACATCAGAGGTCGGGTCACAAGAGTCATTGTCAAATTCAATCTCATGGATTCTCCTAAATTGTTGTTGTGGTTGCCGATAATGCATACGCTTCGAAATATTAGCCTCAGCCCTTCTACACTCTTCTATAAGGACATCAATGGATTCTATATTCCTTGCATATATTAATTGTACTAGTCCTTCCTTCAGATTATCTTTGATTATTCGGACTATTTCTAATTCAGGGATGGGAACTCTCATTTGATTTTTCAATTTAATAATTTCGGAAATAAAGATGTCGGCAGTTTCGTTAGGAAGCTGTCGACGCTCTATGATCTTTCTTTGAATTTCAAAATCAGATTCGAAATTTCTAAATTTTTTTATAAGGTTGTACTTCAAAAATTCCCATTCGCACAAAGGATTTTGTTGACGGAATTGCCATATCCAGTCATATGCTCTTCCTGCTAACAAATGATGAAATCCTTTGACGAAAACGTCCCAAGGACAACTGTAATCCACTCTTAAGGATTCAGCTCTGAATACAAATTCCTCAATGCTAATATTTTTCGACGAGCCATCAAATTTCAATCCCCATTTTTGCAATTGTAGTGGTGTCATTGGTTTACAACCAATTGCAAAATTTTAACTAAAGTTCTGGGAATAGTGTTCTCTATTATTATTGTTGGTTTGTTGCTGTCTCTGTTCGAAGTTATTTGGCATATAGTGAG